TGTTTGTTTGCCAGGTGGGGTGTCAAGGCCTGCAAGCTTGTGTGAATTGGTGTGTGGCATTGTGGGTTTGAGTTTGAGGCAAGGGTTCTGAGGCGTTGGATTGTGTTGAGGGTTGGCAACAGCTGCTTGAGTAACTTGAGTTGATAATTGCGTGTATCGTTCATAGTAGACAACAATAGGTCATTTACTTGACTTCTTAGGAAGCGATGACTGTTGCTATGCGAATAATTATAATTGCAGTGGTGGCTTCCTTGTATATGCATTGCGCAGCACTTGAATAACAGGAAATCACATCCATCCAGCACCCGCAGTCTAACTCTAGGGGACACTGTAGAGCTTCGGTAGATTCGCCTCACTTCACAGCGCGCCAATCTTTACATGCCTGGGAACTCTACTAGGGTACAGCCAAAGTTCCTAGGAAGTACTTGGGGATCTGAGCCTGTAACATCTTCCCAACGTGTGTTGGAGAGTTACTGCTTTGTTGCTGGCAACTGCGATGGATCGCTCTCATATTGCCCGGATACGCCTAACGTGTTCTGATGCTGCAATTTGTACAATGTGGATGCGATCGCCGAAAGACAGCTCCAAGTTACCTGCAGCAATCCATTCATGGATAAAGTCATGAGAAAGACACCGATGTAGTAATGTATAGCTCGACTAAAGATCATAGCAGTTTACTGCGCAGGTGAAACCGATTGTTTGCATATTGCTAGGTGTGCTGGCAGCCGGAATCCATGGAAGAGGGGGGCAGCAGAAACTGCAGTGGGAAGTCTGTCGAAGATCCGAAGACGCAAAACCTTATTGTCAAGTGCGGAGGTGTTTAGGTGAAACTCTGCTGCGAGGAATGCCCCCTGGCCCGAAGGCATGTACTTCTCCCTCTTCGAATGGTGTGAGCATCAAGCTTCGGACCAGGCTTCATTCCCCTCAGCGCAGTTACATTTCGATATTCACGTCTCCAGTGGCGGCAGCAAGAAATACAGCCAATGAATGCATTACGGTTGAACTGAACTTCATAGATCATGCAGAAACGTGGAAATGTTCATTATCAAAAGAAAACTACGCAGCGTGTGGTCTTTATCTTTGTTCACCTACGTGTCCTCCGAGGTAAGTGCAAGGCTTTTGATGGGCGGATGCGTACAAGTGAATTAGTAAGAACATTGGCACTTACTAGCCAAGTTGACCTTGTTCCTGCAAGTACTATTTTGGCCCTGCCATGTTCTTTTTGATTTATTGCATGGAGGCTTAAACCATTACTTATTTTAGCAGTTTCGAGGATTCTGTTGGAATTGTCAGCTGTTATTGTATATTTGGGAAGGTGCTTTTGGGGACTCTGTTTTCAGAGCCTGAGACGTGGACGTTGAAACGAACAGTTGGTACGACTTCCAACGTCTTTGAAGCTCGTAGTGCCCTTGCTTTTGTGCATGATCTTGTAAGTGAAGAACTCTCATCCAGTTGAGTATTTTTCTTCATGTGGTAGAATTTACAGTGTTTGTGAAGTTGATGAAAATCACTATTGAATCCTATACTGGGGCGAAAAAGGTTGGAAGTCATCAATCCATTGACAGCATGGGTCTGCAGCTACCAATGGGGTTCGTTTCGCTGGATGTATTGTAATTGGGCATTCATTCTTGAGTGGTCCTTTAAATAGCTTGGAGGTGTTTTCAATGGTACTATCCGAACCTGACATGTTTTCGTTGACGGTACGTTATAATTTTATAATCTTCTGAATTTGGTTTTTTATCCGTTTCACTGTTCGTTGCAGTTTGGCCCTTTTTCGTGTGATCAATCTGACTTAAGTAACCTCTTCAGTTTTTAGATATTTGAGTAAATAAACATCAGCCTTGTTTAGATCAGCAACTCCAACAGTTCGAAGACAAACTCTTTATCGGACTTGTAAGATCATGATGTCTGCTATCTCATTTCTTGACTGCTTTTAATTCTGAGGCAGCTATGGAGCATCGATGGCATCACGTCAAGAAGGACACAACCCTCCCCCCTCCGGTTCGGTTGGGTTGGTCAATGATATTTATGTTGCCAAGAACTTCAGTGTCTTGAGAGGTTGCAGAAGGACAAGCAGAATGCTCTTCATCTTAATTGGTTCCACTGGACTTGAATGGCTTTAGAATTGTTGTTTGGTGCAGTCCCAGGTTTACTTCGTCTGTCCTGACGAATTGTTTACACACTCGTCAGAAGTTCCAAACGTACATTGCTCTTTTTAATAACCTTATTGTGACATGTTATGAACCTCATTGGAAGACGAGGTGTATCACATCCAATCGACCTTCTCTGCACAGAAAGAGGTGGAGCACAAGTTCACTGCTTCGCATTCTCACTGTGTGGCTTCATTGAACTTGCTGAACTCTGTCCCATCGCAAGTTGTAGGACTCTGTTTTCTTGTAGGTCTTATCGGTAGGCCGGATGTTGAAGGTGATGAATGCTGCAGTGCGAATTCTTCAAATGCAGCTCAAACTCCTCTTACGATCAAAGGTGCCAACTCTGATCACTCTTAGTTAGTACTCAACGTCTTCATTACAATGATCGGTTGAGTTTTCGAAGACTTAACTTTAACAGCATAAAGAAGATGATAAAATGGGCTTTGCGAGCTAGAAGGATTCTTTGTTCTCATATTCGAACCTATCCGAATCGAAGGTCTCTTCTTGACGAGACCCCAGACAAGAATAAGTTGACACTTCTCCAACTTCAACTGTCGGAAGTTCAACACCGTTGCGGCTGCTTTCCTCGGGCTTCCCCTCTTCGGGAATCTCAAGTACCATGACAGTCTCATTCAGGCTTCACATCATGGTAGCTTGACTTGATACCCCTATACACTGGAAGTCTGAAGAAGTAGCCGTAGGACAAAACAGGGCAAATTAAAGGCTCGCTGTTGAAGTGTAGTGCAGTCTTCGTTGACTGAGTCCTTTCATTCAAACTATGCGTGGAGCTGGAATGAAGCAGTTGAAATCGGTGATCACTCTGTGTCATTGAGGGTGTAATAAAGAGTTCCTAGGGGCAAAAACCCTGAACGTTGTGAGACGAACTTCGTAGTGGGAGTGCATGATATTTTTTTTAGTTGTGCAACAGCCGTTGCACTGATGACTTGAAATTTTCCACATGGAGTCATTTTGTACTAGGGTTAGTCGTTGTCATAAGAGGCTGAATTATTTTGTCTATTTTTGCTTAAATAGGTAGTTTCTTCTATGTGAACTTGGTTATGTGATGTTCCTTAGAGTATGTACCTTTGTTAAAACCTTGATCGTATTAAACTTCGAAATTCTGATGAGAAGTAGAATATTTTCAGCTGAATGTCTTGTGGCTCCACACATGTACCTGAAATTTAACTGAATTGGTACTTCTGTATTATGAAGCATTGAGTGCCACGATAGTTGCGTGGGTCTGTTTATTGGAAGATCCTTCCTTTCATGTTTTGAGTTTAGATGGTATGGACAAGTTTTATTATGATGTATTTGGAGTATTCTGAAGCGACAAGGGCATCACTCATGTATTGCTTCGTTAAGATCGTCGATCTTACTAGATGAGTCTTCGTCAGTCGGACCTGTGTTTGTAGCTTTTCAATGGGTAGGAGGGATCAGATGCTCAAGTGAGAAGACGCCTTACGATAGTACTGCATCAAATCCAGCGACTGTTTCCTTTGTCCACTTGTTTGGTATGTTATAACAGTGTCTGTTTTTAAGAATCGTCGTTAATCAACTTCTGATTGTGCGGAACATCCTCATAACATTGAAGAAGATTAGGTGGGTCTGCTGTTACAATTTCTTGTACAGCGTCAACATGTGTATTTGAAAGATGTGATGCCAAATGCACTCGCTGCTGGAAAGTGATTCTTAAATGTGTGTTGAATGTAATAGGTATACACCAGAAGCTTTGCGGCTTCCACTTCCAATAGTTGTTAGGTTCTGACCACCCCAGCTTCCTTCTCGACACTGGTCATCATGATATATGTGTTCAAAATATTAAAAATAATGCTAGCTCCAGAAAAGTGTACTTGCATGCTCGTGCCGTCAAGCCCAGGAAATTGTTAAAAATTGGTTGGGCTTTAGTGAGTTTTGTAAGCACAACTTGGCATGAATTCTGCTCTCTCGTCTAGTCAGCTGCCAAGTCTGTCGGCTCAAATATCATGCTGCAAACATTCTTCATGTTTCTGACTGGCTGCAGATCTCGTGTTTTGTGAACCAAGATGCACAAGAAATTAAAATATTCACATGACGGTTCCGCGATCAAGCATTTTGTGGTTAAATCCGAAGCAATCCATGTCTGGCTGCAAGGGATTTTTTCTCTGTTTGAATGTCTTGTCGTGTTCTTCTGTCTGGCATAGGAATACCTCTGGTACAAGAGAGCTGATCGAACCCTTAATAGAGGGCCAACAACAAATTTGCAGCGCCGATCAGGAGCCTTTTCACAGACGCACTGACTACCTCTGCCCATTGGATGGCCCGATCAATTAGACTGCAGTATTGAAGCTCAAAAGCCGCTTAGTCTGGACGTACCACCCGTTATGCACAGAATTTGAATGTCTGTAGCTTTAATTTAAGTGCCTAGTGTTGTACATTATATAGATGATTCCTTGAGCATTGAAACAGTTCCGCTTGATCTGACGCGAAAGGAAGAATCAATTCCCAATTGTTGTTACTGTCATAGTGAGAACGATGTGCTAGGCAGCCTGAGGAAGAGATACTCAAGTTAAGTCGGGCACTTTCAAGGTATTACAGAATACAACCTGAAGAAGAGCGGCTCATGAGAAGTTTATGTCTCAGTAGCTGCCATTACTACAGTTGCAAGCCTTGATAATGCTAACTAGTCTATCCTGATGCGAGCTGTAGACATCAAAAAAAAAACAAACAAACAAACAAACAAAACAAAACAAAACAAAACAAAAAAACAAAACAAAAAACAAAAAAGAAAACATTGTACACTTCACAATTAAATTCAGATTCTTCATGATGCACCAGCAAAAGCTAAAATCAACCAAAATTAGAAGAAAATTATATGCTGGGTGTTCGCAAAGGCCCGTCAGACTGTAAATAGCAAATTTGAAGCGTTGTACAAGTGGTGACTCAGAGTATAGCCTAGGTCTAAAACCAGTGGTTTCAAAGGTGCCGCAGCATGGCTCTTAGCCCTCTGACTTTTGAGACTGAAGCCATCAAATCCAGCCGTGTAACTCAGCATAATTCAAACACTACTTTTAAGTTGCAAAATGCCTCATACTCTTTTCTACGTAAACAAATCAAATAAGATCATCCTTAGTCTACATCAGAGAGTTACGTTGTTTCTACTTCAGCAGAAGAGAGAAAGAAGGGAGATAAAAGGTTTCAGATCAAAGTTTTCCTTGCTATCTTTCAAGTACTCGAAACTCAGCCATGCCTTCACGCCTGGATGGGGAATACCACACACAAAGCTTCGAAGCACCACTGGCTTCAAGAGGGTAATCAAGGCCACATATAATCTCTTGTACATACGGTTGCTGATTAAGATTCAAAGGATTAAAAGACACACGAGAATGAACGCGTGCACGTAGGGGCCCGATCACCTGTGCCACGGAAGAAGGTTCGGGTCAGTTAATTAGTCAAGTTTGAATAATTTCTCTGTAGCTCTGTTCAGACAAAGCGCTTTTTGAACAGTTTTGGTCAACTTCCTCAAATCTGAACAATCAGAAGCCGGAGTCGGAACTTGTGACCCTTCAATATCCTTTAGAAACTATCCATATATGGCTTTTCTAGATTCAAGAAAAGCTGCGGCAGACTTCAATAAATTTAACTGCAACCACTCTCATAGCAAACGAAGTACTGCTGGTTCTTGTCGTATTACACAAGGCACATGGGGAGAATAAATGACTAAGGCTGTGCTTTTCAACGTACAAGGACATAATCATTAAAGTAAACCCTCTGACCAGCAGCACAAAGAGTACCTGCTGTTGAAGTTCCAAAGCCAGAGTAGGGTGCCCACGCTCGTCACCAATGTCTCCAGACTCTCCATTCGAAGATGGACTCACGTCTTGCATCTTATGCAACTTCAATGCAGAAACTGCCCCTATGTCAAGCCGTATACCCATCTTTGTGAAGTCCCAAAAATTTCTTTTAAATCGACCAAACTGTGCGTTTAAGCCTACTGATGCAAACAGGTCTGCAGAGTGGCGGCGTCCTATCGGTGGGGAATTATCGGCACCAGTAGGATCTAAAGATTGAGTTATACCATACAATGGATCCAACCTTGAACTTAAAAGTCCTCCTGAATGAACAACACGCTGTAATTCAGTACAAAACTTATACAAGGTAAAAAAAACATTGGATCATCAATGGCAATTCATAATTCGAAAGTTATTTTGAGCATAACCAAATTGTTAGATGAAATGTTTGATTTTGCGAGGAAGTACGTTCTTATATGACACCCGATACTCGTCAGTCCTTAACAATCTCATACGTTCAATTGTCGACTTTAGAATACAATTGAAATGTAAATCACAATTAAAAGAACACAAGCCATAATATATCTACGCACCAAGACATAAGCATCCATTTATGTCTGACCAGAACAATATGATTCTCAAGATCATATACTTACCCAGAACACCTGAAAGGGAAATGCAGGGCCGAGCATCAAAAAGACTGTACGATTTTTGTGAAATAATGCTCTCTAGATCAGCTTTCCAGAGGTTCAAGGACTTCTCCACCGATGCAGCAGCTTGGAGGCGTAATCCTGGGAGAGCTTTTACTGGAGGTTCTCCAGCATTTACTTCCGGTCGGGTGCCACCGCACTCAAGAGGAGATCCAGCACTATGATGAACGCCAAGCCGGTACCGAAAGCCCCCTGGAGCCCCCAGCGAGGCAAAATCAAACGAAACCGTGTGCGGCACATCCCAGTAGCGTGATTCACGATCGACATAGCGCTCGTGGTAAGCTGCTTCCGCAACAATTTTTTGTTGATCCAACTGCAAAAGAGAGCAATGCAGTGGGAACATACGACAAAAATTGAAGTCTTACGTGTGTTATAACAACAAAGAAAGTAATATTGAACAACTTCTTGCTACTCTAGGTGGACAAAAAACAATTCACACAACATGAGTAGGTGTATAGACCTTGTGGCGCAACGAAACGCGACCCCTCCAGGGAGGTCGAGTCTGTTCTCCAGTAGATTGTTGATCAGCAAACGCTTGACAAGAAAGACTATCCAACTCTGAGGTGGTACTGAGGGTGGTTCTCGATCCCAGCTGGAGCCTTGACCGAAAGCAAAGGGCGTACAAAGAGTTGTCCAAAAAGCGATGTGCACTTTCCACAAGATTTCTGGAGGTATGCTGCGCTGCTGAATCGCTACCTGTACGACTACTACTACTACTACTACTTTCGCCAGTGGAGCACTTTCTCCTAAACAGTCGCTGTGGCCGAACCCGACCTGTTAATGTAGCCCACCTGCATAATCTCACGATAAATTAATACAAGTTGAGGACATGTGCATCTGAACACAGGCATGACAACATCATTTTAAAAACTGAAACAAGCTCATTGGCTTCATATTTGTGGGAGTCGCCTGTATCACACACTTTAAAAGATAACGACGCCAATTCTCAGTGGAGAGTAACAAGAACAGCAGCATGTGCAGTAAAGTATACTACTAATGTTAAGGATTTCCTTCTTGGCCAACAAAATTTAGCATTGGTCAAGGCAATCAACACTAACTGTCCTGAAAGCAGCCTGTGTGCAGGTCACATGCATATTCTAATCCGAATGTAGGAAAGACGTTTTCATTGAACTTGTAAACAGAGAGTAGAGACAGAAGCTTAGCTAGTTTACAAGTATCAATGAATATTGTCACAACTTTCATGTAAGAACAGGCAATGCCCTGATTCTCCATGCAACTGGAGCTGTTCCCAGAAATGAAATCACTCGATTGAAAGGCAAAAAATTGCATGGCGCCCAGAAGCATAGGCTCACCAGTTTTCACCTCCAGCGCTCCCCAGCACACGATCAAGAACTAAGCCACCCTTGTTGTCCGCATCCACGACATAAGAGGGTGTGCAAGGAATACCTAGAAATCGCTGCAACATGAGCAGCTGCTGAGACCTTGAGAGGCGAGTTCCGGTCACAATTCCTAAGGGCGGAGGCTCCGCAGGCAGCCCGTGTGATATTCCATCAATTGATCTTGACGAACTTACTGACTCATTCCAAAATTGCGATGAGAGTACTGGCTTCATTTTCAACCTAGTCGGCAGTAACTCTCCTTCTCGCAATTTAAAGGCAGAGGTGGCACATTACTTGGATAATTACGGTGCCTGCCAACAGATTGTAATTCTAGAATTCACCAATTCCGCCTCGTAAAACCTAATTGTTAATGATTGCCAATGAAGTGCGGATATGATAATCTGCTTGAACATAAAAATCCTAGAAACCTACAAAGTGAATCAATTTTACGACAATTCAAGACTGCAGGGTTTCACTGGAAGTCAAGAAACTGATGCTCGAAATAACAAAAATCAAATAAAAAATAGGTCGAAAAGAAATGATTAATTGAGAAAATACGTCCCACAGCGCCTACATTGACAAGAAAAAAGAGGACCCAATTGCTAACAATCTCAACTACACCACCAGTTGAGACCCGTCGTCACCCAAAAGAGCGGCGGCTTCAAAACCAGTCCCCGGAGTCTCCATTTCACTAACACAATACTGACCAGATTTTGAGGGATAATCAGCAGCACATAAATGGCCCTCGCCGATGAGTTTCCTTAGCAATGTGATTGCTCATGACAAGAGGCAGACGTGCGATGTGGGTTGCGGTCCCACCATTCCAAAATCCGACCTTCTTCTATCATTCTTTGCAGTATACTCATCCACGAACCAATGATAAACGGAAGGTATTCGTCATATGTTTCTTGAGGCTTCGCGGTAGAGCGCCTTCTCGATCAGATTTTCATCCATGTTTTCGGATATGGCTGCTACCGAGCCTGCTCGCCTATCGAGCCATGCCCTCCTTGGTTCAAAGAGATCATCAATTTTTTGAGATTTCCTTCCTGGGCGACTGCCAAGGCTGGGGATGCGGTTGTATTCTGTGGGTTGGTTTTGCGAGAGAGCCGATTCTGAAGTTTGTGACACGAAATTTTTCATATTATGCTAAAAGTTGGAAGAATTTCACGGAAAGAAGTATGTGCTTAGATTCCCATCAGAAGGAAGTGATTGTTTGAGAGGTTTCATTTCTTTAGTTGCCGCTACTTAATGAGAAGTTCGGAGGATGCAAGAGGAAGCCTGGTGGGCTTATTTGTAGAGATGCATTAGAGATGCTCAGTTTAGAATGAGCTCTGGAAGAAGTTTTTGGGATGATTTTCGAAATTGAATTCTTTGGAAGCTTGAGCAGTTTCAATGAAACCAATACGAATTGATGAGAAAGTAATTATTTGGAGTGATAGGAAATAGGATTTTCTGTGATGGCCACAGGGAAAATGGAGATGGTGGCGACTGCTAGCTACGCTCCAGTTTCAACTTTCGCGCAGTTCTTTTCGCTTGAGAGCTTCAAATTTCCATATTCAGCTACCGTTGTTGCTAAAAGCCCCTCATCCAGGAAATTTTGCACCCACGCGTTAAGACACAAATCCAGGGGTTTAGGGTTTCAGGGGAGGAACGCGAGTTGTGAATTTGTAGGAGCAGAGTTCAATTCTGAATTATTGAGCTCTCATTGGTCAAACAGATATATTTCCTGTAATTCCTCAATCACGAGAATTGCTGCATTGCGACAAGGTCACTTTGCGGAGCCGATTGTGACAGTAGGGGAAGTAGAGAAACATGAAAAGCAGCTGACGGAGGAGGAAGCTGTGACCGAGTATCTCGAGTCCGTCGGAATTGATCCGAGTAGCTTCGACGAACTCTATCTGCAGCTTCAGCTTCCTGCTTCTTTGGATATTGTGCGTGAGCGGGTCATGTTTCTGCAGAAGATTGGACTCACGGTGGAGGACATAAATGATTATCCTATCATGTTGGGATACAGTGTGAAGAGAAACTTCATCCCTGTGCTCACTTATCTTGAATCCCTGGGGGTGACGTCGAATTCACTTCCGATTCTCGTGCGTAAGTATCCGCAAATTCTTCACACTAGTGTAGTAATCGACTTGCAACCGCATGTCGAGTACCTGGAAGGGTTGGGCATACAGCGAGCTGACATAGGTAGCGTCCTCACGCATTATCCTGAAATTTTTGGGTTCAAAATTGAAGGAACTATAAGCACGTCAACTGCGTACCTTGTAATGCTTGGCGTGAACCCTCGAAAAATGGGCTCTATTTTGACAGAAATGCCCCAGATTTTAGGTATGCGTGTTGGCAATAATATCAAAAGGAAAGTAGACTTTCTTAAGAGGTTTGGACTCACTAGCTCCGACATTGCAAAGATGATTGAAACTCGTCCGCAGTTTTTAGGGCTATCTTTAGAAGATCAAATGCAACCTGTTTTGAATAACCTCGTAGAAATAGGAGTAACACAGGATACAGTAGGCCGTGTGATAATGCAGTTCCCAGACATCTTAGGTCTCGACGTGAAACTGAAACTGGCTGAGAGACTGACATGGCTAACCTCGGAAGTAGGAATAAGTGCGGATTCCTTGGGAGAAGTCATTGCCAAGCTTCCTCAAATTCTCATCATCAACACGACCAAGGCCAACGAGAGAGTTGAATTTTTGAGACAGGCCGGATTCTCATCTGACGTTGGCTCAATGGTGACAAACTGTCCGCAACTGCTTGCAGCTAGCATTGATAAGAGTCTCGAGCCCAATTTGGCTTATTTAGTAGGGAAGATGAGAAGAAAGCTTGAAGAAGTAGTCGAGTTTCCAGCTTACTTGCTGTACAACTTGGAGGAAACTATTCAACCACGGCATGAGGAAATCACCAAGAGGAGCATGGAATGCAGCTTGGCCTGGATGTTGAACTGTACTGATGATGTGTTTCAGCAACGGATAACCTTAGAGTATGCCGAGCAAAGTACCCAGGACGAGGAACCGGACATCCCATACGTCGTTGCACGTCGAGCAAAGCTAACTGATGAAACCTCAGTGCAACTGCCTGTGGATAGTTCGGAGGATGCCAAGAACAAGAAATCTCCAGGATGGGATCATTGAAGAAGACGAAGAACAAGAGGAAGAATTACATCTCTCTTTTGTTGTCACTCGGAGAATGTGGCTGATAGACGATGCCTAGGATGACTCTGCACCAGTAACTTTTGAAACAGAATTCTCTTCGAGGTATTCCATCTCCACTTGAGGACTTCGTTGTTCATGGTGTAGCATCCGGGGAGAAATTTGAAAGCCCACAGCCAAGATCCTTCTTTTCCATTATAAACTGGTAGTCTGCTACTATACCTTGGTTATTGCCTCTAATTCCTCTTCAGACATGATGGTTTCTTTTGCATTGTAGTTTAGCTGAGCTTTTATCGTGGGGTTTCAACCAGCTACCATGGAACTATGTGTGATTCTCCCCTTAGGTGGATAGGGTCTGGAATATCACTTATGCATTGCTTTTTGTTTAGGTTTATGACTTGACTCATGTCGACTTATTGTTCGATCTGGTGGTGGACTTCAGTACATCAATTTTGCACACGCTCCATGTGTGTTGTGACCTCTCTATACAGTTGTGCACTATTTGAAGATGTGAAGGATTGGGTTCTGAAAACTGGTGCATTGGATTATGTCTCTGAAGTTTCGTTTGAAAGAATTGCTTCTTTGTGTAACTTGGGAAGCTTGTAGTGTGCACATTTCACCTTTATGTGCTCCACTTGACAGGAGATTCTGAACATTATGTAATGCCAGTAGGTCGATCCGTGTATGCGTGTTTGGAGTCATGTGTATGCTTGTTTGAAGTCATGTACTAATTGCATAAGAAAGTTATGCTTCTTGTATTCGATCGTCAATTAATGTCTAAAATATTTTCTACATGAAGTCCAGTTTAGATTAAACTATTAGTTTAAATGAACATTATTACCGTTTGAACTTGTGGTAAATTATGTGATCAGGGATTAAAAAAAATCCTGTACTCAAAAGGAATTTACACTTGGCAAACTTATTATTTCTTATGTAAGTCCACTCACTATAGAGATTTAAAACAAAACAAAAGAAATAGAGCTATTACATCTTTTTTCTAGTTATAAAAATAAATGTGAAATTCGGTAGTTTCAATTTGGTTAATTTAGAGTTTTTATTTTATAATAATTATTTATATGCATAAGAAAATAAAAATAAAATATTGATATTTTTTTAATCTATTGATGTATACAATTATAACTTTTAATTATTCATATTGTTTAGTTATATAGCTATTTAGAAATAAATATATACAGTTAAAACAAAACAAATTTTTTTTTTAGAATAATATTTTAAAATTCATTTAAAAATAAAAATAAAATACTTAGGATATTAGATGAAAAGATATATAAGATAGTATAATTAAATAGATTTTTTGAAGATGTTCTTAAAATAACATAAGTAATTATCTAAATTAGATATATATACATTATCATGGACATGAATCTCGAAGAAAGAAAATCCTCAATACATTCTTGTATCACTGTAAGGAACTAAAAAATCATTTAAAGATGATATAATATTGAACTAGAATGGCTATTGCCAAAAACAAGAAGATTAGAGAGTCTTGAAACAAGACTAAGGTCTAAAAAGGCATTGACAAGAGTGAAAAAGGTTTCATTCTTGCTTCCATATATACTCTTAACTAGAAGCTATGTGGCAATGTCTTATAGGACCTCCAAAACGTGTTGACTTTGCAAGACACGTATCTTAACTTGCAAGCAAGTTTTTTATATGTGCACTATATAGTTAGCTTATTCTACAAGCTATTCATACATGATTAACTTGTAGACAAAGTTTTTAACCTATCAATCAACTATAAATACATATAAAGTCAAAGTAGTATTTATAAAGCTTCTAAGAAGCTTTTCTAAAAGGTATTATAAAATTAACCTACTTTTACTTACTTCTATTTAATTATATAAGTATTTATTAGAGTATCTATATATATTCGTGACATTATCTTTCCTTCTAGGGACGAGTTCCAGGAGGAGCGGTCTTCATATGTTGAAAAAAACTAAGATTCGGCAAATTATATTTGCCACATACTCTGATCTTTGTTCCCTTTGAAGATAGTTGAGAGGTCCTCTTAACCATCGATAGTATCCCATACCAAGGCAAAAATACCACCCTATTATTTGGTCATTATTGAGGCCTTCATAACTTCTTTCAAATAAAACATTTGAAACACCGTCAAGAATTATTCCTACCTCTAATAAAATCACCAAACATTGAGAGTTTCTTCCAAGGTTGTGATATGAAACACGTTATATATCGCCATCTATTTGAGGAAGGACATGTCATTCTTGAATTTCTTCATCTCGATTTCATCATCTTCAAGATTGTGACAATTGTAATGTCTGATTTAATAAGTCCACCAATGAAGACTCTTCAGTTGAATCTGCTGGTTCTTGGTTCTCCATCTCTTTAAAGTCACAAATATATAGAAACTACTAAGAAGGAAAGAAAGTAGAGTATTATCTTCCTTTGATCTTATTTCATTTATAGCAAAGATTTGTTATTCTTTATCTTGATTTTGATGGATGTCATCGATGAAAAGCTTCAATTCTCTTTGTTGTATTTGTAAGATTCTTTGTTGGCTCCTATGTGCATTCACTAATATCATATCCATATCAATAAACAAGATATTCCAACCTATTTTGGTGTCGCCTTAAATCTAAGACTTCTTCCACCTCGAACTTTTGATTATTATCCACTTCTATAGGAAGAACTGGCATTTGTTTTTTTTCCAAGATATTTACTATCTTATATGGCTCAAAAAGAGACATGTGAAATATAGAGTGAATCTTCATAGATTTCAATAGATATAATCGATAAGTAACAGGATTGACTTATTTACTAATAAGAAAATACTCAAGCGTACAATAATTCAACATATCACAAGGACAAATAGTCTTAACATTGCGACAAAGTAATCATATCTTATCACTTACGTTGAATTGTGGTCATTCCTTGCAATAGGCATCTGCATTAATTTTTTGTCATTCTTGAGCTCCTTTCAACTGTGCCTTTATTGTTACATGTGGCTCTAATAAATAATTTTTCAAATCTACTGGCTTAAGATTATCAACTTTTGAAAAGTCAAAAATATCAAGTTGTGGATGATAACCATGATTGGCAAAGAAACGTATTTTTTGAGTAGAAGAATGTACCAAATTATTATATGCAAACTTTACTAATGATAAAAGAATTATCCAATCATCTTGATGACAGTTGATAGTTCACTTCAAGTATTGCTATAAATCTTGATTTACCTATTTTGTTTGCCTATCAATTTGAAGATGAAAAGCCGAAGAGAGCTTTATATCCACCTTTAAAATCTTGAAAAGGATTCTCCAAAATCTTAATATAATTGAATCCCCCCATCTAATATAATATCTTTAGGTAATCTGTGATAGCGATAAATATTGTTAAAAAAAAACTTAGCTATTTTTTTTTTACCTATGATAAATTTTGTATATAGTACAAAATGTGCCATTTTGGTAAAATGATCTACTACCACAAATATAGAATCATACAAACTTGAGACTGGAAGATCCATGAAAAAATCCATAGAAAAAAAAGACTATAGTTGCTTTAGAATAGGTAATAGCTGAAGTAGTCTATAAGGTTGATAGCAAGGAGTTTTTGATCTTGAACAAATATCATATGATTGTACAAAGTCTTTGACTGCCTTCTATATTTGAAGCCACCAAAAATCTCTCAATATTAGCTTCTAAATCTTATTGTATTCAAAATATTTGGTTGCTAGAAAGTTATGATGAGTTTGAAGCACACGTAAACATGCCTCATCTTCTAGAATATATAATCGTCCCTCAAAATAGAATAGATTGTTCTTCAACTCAAACTTGGAAATATCATAAGACTTAAAAGAATTATTCTTCATATCATGAATAAGAGGATTAGAAGACATATTTGATAAAATTTGCTTAACAAATGTTGAATCAATAGTCAATGTTGATTTTATTGCTTAAAGGTGAAAATATTTCAACTTCAAGAGAATTATTCTTTATTGATCAAAAGATACATCTCTTTCTTTTGGTAGAAGATAAGAATGTCTAAAAAGGGCATCCAACAAACCTTGTTGTTTTTTGAGTCAATAAGTGATTTTGAAATTAAATCTTGATAAGGACATGCTTCAATAAACTTGGTTACAATTTAAAATACATATTGACATGAAATACTCAAGGTTCTTGTGATTTATATACACGATGATTGGAGTCAAGGTGCCTTTTAAATAATGATGCCATTCTTGAAATAAATCCACAATTGTAAGGAATTTATTTTTATAGATTTCAAAATTAATCTTGACTGCTGAAAATTTTCAAGAATAAAAAGCTATTGAATGGAGTTTTCCATCTACTCCCATTTGTGATAATACTACACCGAAGACAAAGTTTGATGTATCTGTTTTGATAAAAAAAAATACCTTAGAAAAATCAATATGATATAAAATTGGTACAGAAATAAACTCCTTTTTTAAAGCATGGAACGATGCTTTAACTTCTTTACTCCACTTAAATTTGTCTTAATAAGTCAAATGTGTAAGTAGCACTAAAACTTGAGAAAAATTCTTCATGAAGATTTAATAATAATTGTTAGGGACATAGTCCTTAGAACCTTCTAGAGACAAGTTTCTAGAACCTTCTAGAAGTAAATCTTTGGAACCTTCTAGAAGCTTCCTAGTTAATAGAAGTTGCTTGAGAAGCTTCCTAAATAGGAGTATATATTGGAATCGAGGCTGAAGAGTTCTTCAGTCTCGACAACACATCTCTTGGAGCTCTAGCTCACCTCTCTGGTGTTGTTCTTGTATTCATCTGATTAATCTAGTTCTTGTCAATTCTTCTTGAATTTCTTGTTAGATCTCGAGTCTGTATTTCTGTGTCTATGACAGTTTGTTGAGACTGCACTCACCTCAAACATCAGAGTTAGTTTCTTCTTCATTAGAGTGCAGTCTACTCCTCTGCTTCGAAGTGTACTAGCATTTTAGAGGTTGCGGATTACCCTCCTTTAAATTGATACTTCTTTTATTATAATATTGGAATCTTATTCTTCTTAGAGAGAGTGGATTACTCCTTTTCTTGAAGCTCTTAAGGTATTTTAGAGGTTGCGGAGTACCCTCATCTAAACCAATATTATCTTTTTGTAGAGTTATTTTTGTCCTTCTCTTAGAATGGCTGGAGGCCAAGACATTAGTATGATGGAAAGTTCGGAGTCCAAGTTGGATGCTATCATGAATGCCCTCGCTACATTATCACAAAGAACTGTAGAGATTGAAGGAGTCGTGGCAAGGCTTCATAATGATCGAGCATCTGGGATGGCACAATCTAGGTTGCACCAGCCTCAAACTTCTACACTTGGAGAAGCAATTTTACCTCAGGTTTGACAAGCATCGCTGGTTCTACAACATAAGGAGTCCCGAGTTAGCCTTCCGGACAAGTTTGATGGTACGCATTCCAAGTTTCGAGGATTCGTCAATCAAATCAGGTTGATAATAGTTTTGTAACCCGAACGCTATCCAATGGAGGAGTCACATGTTGGGCTTATTAGAACC